AAAAATAAAAGCAAAGAAAAGAAAAGAAAAAAAAATGATTTTCCAGGAATCCATTGCCGGATATCAAACACAACTTAAATTTAAATGAAAAATTAGCATATCTTATCGATGTTAGAACTCAAATTCGAGTGCCTCGAGTTTGAATTCCCCTACATGTATTCAAACTCCTACATGTAATATTTAGAAGAGTAATGCTAGGAATCAATTAAACTTACACTTTTCACACTTTTGTCAAATTCAAAAGAGTAATAATAGATAGACTAATTTTTTAGACTATATTTGTGTCACTAAAAAAAATATAAATATGTTAGTTTAATACTTAAATAATAATTCAATCATTAACAATTACATCGTATGATTTATAAAAATATAATTGCCTCCCACCATTATTCAATTTCAAAATATTTTAAGTCTTTATTGGTGACACATGGGCAGATGACTTGCCTTACTGTTAGAGCATCTCCAAAGGAGACATCAAATTCAAAACATCAAATTTCAATTTGATGACTGGCTTAGCAATTTGACATACCGTCAATATTTCCCTTCCACTTGATATGCCAAAATTTATTGTTTCATTTATGTTAATTTTAAACTAAAATATAAAAGTTATGTTGTTATTGGTCTAAAAATAATAAAATAATACTTAAATGTTCTAGCATTTAAGGTAAGGTAAGTGGAATGCATTTGGAAATAGCAAAATCTTATTCGAAGGTAGCTTCAAATTTGACATTTCTTTATCCATGTCAGCTTTGACATCTCGGTTGAAGAAAATAATATATCATTTGTTACTATTATATGTCTATGTAATATTTTTAACATCTCTTTTAAAGATGATCTAACATGAACACATGGGCAGATGACTGTAAAAGCTCAACTTCCCCCTTCACAACCACACATATAAAACCTAACTTAAGCAAATAATTAATACCCTTTTCAGAGCCCCTTTTTTTTTTTTTTTTGGAAACTCCCTTTTGAGAGTCTTTGACCAAAAAAATAGGGATAATTCTGCCTAAAATTTGAACCGAACAATGAATTATTTGAGTGCTACTATTACCATCCCACTGTCTTATTTCTACACCACTCTTTATTAAAAAAAATTAATTACCAATTTATCCTCACGTAAAATGTCAAATAAGGACAAGGAAAAAACAATGTCAGATCGTTCACTTCCACCCACACTCCTAGCAACTCGTAATCTTAATTCCCAAACGTCTCGTCGTCACTTTATTCCTTCTAAATTTTAATTTATGTTTATTGGACCCTAAATTATTGAATCATGAATTGATCTTTGTATTCGTCAAGTCCGTCGTACATAATACAAATCCCAAACACACTGAATGCATCAAGTCATATATGGATGCCAATTGAGTTTCTTTCTCTACCGATTTCACTTCTTATTCTTTCGGCTTTGATTCTATGTTTGGTTGAGCGACTGACTTTTTGTTCTATTGTTGCATCACCTCCGTGGTCAGCCATGGGGATAGTCGGGATGGTTGTAAAAAGTGCAGAAGGGTGGTCGCTGTTTTACTTCCCTCTATTTCAGTCATATAAATATAATCATTTTCCTTATATTAAAATATTATTTAAATAATAAAAAAATAGATGGGAGAACAGGCTAGAGAAGCAATATGGATGTCAGTTTCTGTGCTTCTCATCGGTCAGTAATATGGCTATGGGAAGGGGTAGGCTGTGCTGGTGAACGGTGTCAAGGGTGGAAATTGGAAGGGTACTTTGGAGATAATGGTCGGTGGGAAGATAGTAGGTTATTTTTCTTATTTTTTATGGTGGATGGACTTATAACGTGGGTGTAGAAATAGAATAATAGGATGGGCCTAGTAATACTAAATTATTTTCAGGTTCACCACACAAAATTCTTATCATAATCTGGAAAAAAAATTTAATTCAAGTAAAAAATTCAAAACCCAATATGCCCTAATTAATTCCATAAATAAAATACATAATCAACAACTCATTGGAGGAAGATCAGAAACCTTATCATCAACATCCGATTTCTTCTTAAAAACCTTACTCCCAAAAAGCAAGAACCCTACAGTATGCCCAGCCACCGCCACAAGAAACACCCCAGCATTAAACGACATGACCGCCAACATCACCAAATAAGCCCAACCCAACCCTAACTGCATGCAAAAGAGTCTGAGCCAGTCCACAAACGACGTCGCTTCCGCCGGCCCTGATCAGACGGCAGTGGGAGAGCCACTCGACGAGGACAGCTAGGGCAAACACAAAGAGTAGGGATACGTAATACATGCCGGTGTTTGTGCCTGGCCATTTGGAGAAGAGTACTTCCGCCTTTGTGCCCCAAAAGAAGGTCATGTGCATCATCATCTTATGGTGCATCATCATCGTGCCGTTCGTCATGGATGACGATGGTGGCGCCGGTGATGCCATGCCACCCATTCCATGGCCGTGATCCATACCATCCATCTCTCTCTCTCTCTCTGATTCTCTCTCTCAAATTTGCTTCTGTTGGGCTGTTGAAATGAGTGAGGGCTCTCTCGTCGGTATTTACTTTGGGTATTTCTATTTCTGATGAGTCTCTGGTAGTACATCGGGGCTCGTACTATGTAGTACAAAGGTAAAACTGAACTGGGAAAATTAGGATTTTGGTAAATTACAGTGCAACCATAGCAAATTAACAAGTGAATGAAAATAATATTAAAAATCATTATTTAACAAATATACACGAATTCAATTTTAGCAATTTTTGCACTCATATTTTTCATGTTTCTACTACTTTCATTGGTATATGTTTTGATTCTGATTTTATTTACTCAATTAAAAGGTACAAAAAGAACAAGAAAGAATGCAAATGGAGAAAAATTAGAGTGATAAAATTTTCACCGTTTCATAATATCACTAATCAATTTATTATTTATTCAACGTTCAATCGTATATTTACCTTCTCATTTATGTATTCTCTGGACAATATTATACATGGCCCCGGGTTCACGTACGTGAACATCATCCGTGATTGTTACCGTTTGAATAGCCAATATATCTTTCTTTCTTTGTGTTTTTATTCTTCCTTATCTTGGTTTGGGAATTGTCAATTACTTGTATTAATAATCTGGACAATATAAATCTACATGGTCCCAGATTCACCTGAAAAGCCATTGGTGGACGGTGATTCATTGCTACCCTTTTTTACACAGATGATAAAATTATTATTATACCAAATTCATGTAAATCGAAAAAGAAATCGAACTACGGTATAAAAAATTTACCACATTGACGCATTGTTTTGTCTAAAAGTATTTTCAGTGAAATTGATTATGAAAATGCTATTAAACTAACTGAACAAGTTATCTTTTGAAATTGTTTTTAAAATGACTAAAAACGTTTCTTATAAAATTGATTTTAAATTCTAAAAGCTTTTTCAGTATTTTTTTTAAAAGCACCAGATATGTGAAACACTTAAGTTCTTTTTTTAGGATTTAATTAGATTTTCAAAAATCATTTTCGCCGAATTTTTTTTACTCATTTTTAATAGCATTTTTAAACGAGTTCTAAATTCCATCAACAACAACTGCTACTGCTTAATTTTTGAAAGGAAAAAAAAACCAAAGTTTGAATTTACCAATTTTCCCTTATCTTTTATTTTTTTATTTTTTATTTTATAATTATCCTATGAGATTGAAACGACATGTGGCGCACGACCCTACATGCATTGGGCAAATAAGACAATGCTGTCTAAGTCCCTTTGGCGCATCCAGCGGTGTCAGATGATACAAAATAGACAGCCAACGGATGAAGGTGAAGAGCAGTAGTAGTGAGGTGGTTTTGACATAGTTAAATTGCTAGGTGTTGAACTAATTAATTTTGACCAAAATTAGCGATTTACACTGGGTAACTTTTTTTTTTTGAAGGAAAAATTAAGTAATTATATGTGTTATTTAGTCAAGTTGGTCTTTGAAATTGGCATAACTCATCACTTCGATATTTGAGATTTGAAATCAATAAAAGTGATTTCTGAATTTGTCCACCATCAATCATTTTAGTCATTATGTGAAAAATCTTTTTTAAGTAAATAAGAAAATGATAAAAATATCTTCAATTTTGTCAATCATTTTGGCCAATTTGGTAATTAAATTGAGGGTATTTTTTCATTTTATCTTTATTTAACATAACTTTTCACGAAACGACCAAAATGATTAATATGGTGGTCAAACTCAAGAACCACTTCTAACAATTTCAAATTTCATGAACTAAAGTGAGGAGTTATGCTAATCTTAGTGACCAATTTTACTAAAAACCCTTTATTTTCCGTAAACATTGGATAATTACAAGAAAGATATGTAAGGTTTGCTCGACAAAAAGAGAGTAACACCTTTATCTATTTATGCTATTAGGTGTGGGCATAAAAATCGTCAAACTAGAGAATTGAATCAAACAATAAAAGATATATGTGGAGCCAAAAAATAACTCCAAAAATCTTGGAGACGACAAATGGAACTTTTTTCTCAAGAAAGACAAGATTGCACTCAATAGGAAGGGCACACAAATATTCCCATGCCCAGCTCAGTAGCCCTAAAAGTTCAAGCAGTGGACGACGACTGCTCAAAGCTCTCATGCTCATGACATGGAAAAGTCAAAGATATTAAAGATATGGTTAATTGTTGAATCCTATTTTTAATACATTATCAATTGAAAATCAACTCAATCAAGTGAGGAATCCTTATTACAATCAATTTTGGATACTTCCACTATTATCCCAAAATATTTTCTCCTAATTCATATCTTGGAAATATTCTTTCCTCACTCTTCCAACAGATGACACACCTTGGTTAATAAGATGCGGCCATGTGTAAGGCAAAACCCAAACCCCATGGCTAGGCATCGAAGATCCATTGACCAAACCACCTTCCCCACCTCATAGCACGTGTGGCTTTGGCCTCTGATCAAGGGTGTTGGTTATTTTGTAGGTACAAATTTGTCAAGATTGAAAACGGCAGATTTTTGCTACCACAAATTGGTGCTTTCATTGAGATCTTCATTCGAACACTCGAAGAAGGTTCGCATTCACGTTTCAAATTTTACCCTTTTTTACATAAATTTTCCCACACGTTCCTATTCCTAGATTTTTTTTTATTTTTTTATTTATATAAATTCTTTCAATAGCCCTAAGGAAGAAATACGATGGTGGAAAAATTCAGAAATCACGACAAACGGAATTCAAGGATTTAGACTAGAGAATGAAGGCAAAGACATAGCCCCACGTCTATGATCCTGGAGGCTCAACGTGACGGTAAGATGAGCCACACCGTCGCAGAGCACGACCATCACCACTGCCACTGCTTAGCAACCACCACGTGGCCATCAAGCAGCAGTCCACGCTGTCGTTGCAGCTGCAACCCACGGGCATGAGGCCCAGGTTTTTTTCAAGCCACAGGCCCAAAAACCTAACTGTTTGAAGCCGAATCCACCCGTAGCACTAACCCAAGCTACCCAACAAGTTGCCCATGTCGTAGATAATAAATAATAAATAGAAGAATTGATGTGAGATATAATACAATTCAATCATTTTTTTTCGATATTTTCCGTGAGATTTTCTGTGGAAACAAGCAGATAATAAATAGAAGAATTGATGTGAGATGTAATACAATTCAATCATTTTTTGTGATATTTTCCGTGAGATTTTCTAATGAAACAAACAAATAATAAATAGAAGAATTGATGTGAAAACTGACCTGACTAATGAAAGAAGGTGCAAGAGAAGGGAGAAGGAAGGGAAAAAAAAGAGAGAAGGAAATCTTAGGGACATAGTGGAATCATGGTAAAAATGTGAAGACAAAATGGAGAGAACATTGTGCTTATGAACACTATCTCAGTTCATTTTGAGTTTTAGTATATGTTAAAAAATTTCAGTACTTTTATTTACTTCTTTCTCTCATTTTGCCAATTCATTTCTTCTTTGTGTTATACTAAAATGAAAGCCGAAATAATTATTAAGGGGATACCTAATAAGAACATGAAAAGTGAATTATTATAAGAGAAATGGTAAGGGATCTCTCTTAAAAATGAATTCTCTATCGACGCTCTATCATCTCGCAATTTAATGTGTTTTTTTTTGTTTTTTTATGTAGCAATATTATAAAACATTGTGCAAAATACAAAGTGATAAAAAATTCATAGAGTTCCACTGTTGAGAAAGTTTTAGCATTTCTCTTATTATTGTACAAACACAGTATCATGTAGGCTGGGATTTGGATCCTCTCCTGAGCCCAAAGAGAGGATCCTTCTGACCAAGACACGTGGACCGTTAAATTTTTATCCAACGGTTACAAATAGAGAGATTTTTTTAAAATTATAATAATTATAGCCGTTTGATGAAAATCCAACGGCCCACGTATTTTGATCAGGAGAATCCTCTCCTTGGGCTCATGAGAGGATCCAAATCCTGTAGGCTGGAATAGATTTTCAAGTTTCAACCACTCCTTTACGAGAATGAGAAATCAGATCCTATCTTAATCCAAGAAGACATGGACTGATAAACACATTTGGCTGCTATAAAAGGTCATGCATGACGAATACATGCACAGTACGAACATTTTGAATAGACACGACGATGTAACATTTGATTAAGAATATAAACAAGCTATGCTGAGAACCACATGCTTATGTACTAAAGAATTTAAGAAAATAGACAATATTATTGATTAATTGGCCTACCTAGTGAGAAGGACTAGAGCAAAATTAAAAAACTAGCCTTTTTAACACATTACGGCTTCATTCTGTTAGATGGGGTTGGCTTGTATATCACTAGTCACTTTGAAGCAAGAAATGGATGACAATTATTACTTTTGTTTAAATTGAAGATTACACGCTAATAAAAGATATCCATACTAATTATCACAAAAATGATAGGATTAAAAGGAATGTTTGTTTATAATCATAACCTTCAACTTGGATAGAAATAGAAAAATCGTCATTCATTTCTTCCAAGTTTCTTCGATATAATGAATAATCTTATCCAAACCAAAATTCTCTAACAAACCAGGCCTAATGATTTTAGTATGTCTTCATTTCTTAAGATTGATTATGAATCTCTACATTTAAACTTAGCGTATTTATCCGCATTTTGCTACATCTTAACCATTCTCATAATCTAATGACAAAATATGACACATCAAATTTAATAGTTAACTTCAATTTAATTCTTCGTCTTTTTCACCGTCTGCATAAAAATCTGGCATCTCTGTACTATATTATGAACAAGATAAAATTCTACCTAAAAAGTTCAATCAGCAACATCTTAACGAAGTGTGTAAAACATGTGTGCCAAATAGAAAAAACTAAAACTACTTTTAAACAAATTAATTGCAAGAATAGGTTTTTGATTGCCGCCGGTGGGGTGGGGTGGACTGGGTAATGGGTGTTCAGGGACGAAACCAGAAATTTAACTCAAAGGGGGCACCTTAAAAAATTTGAGCTCCTTTTTTGGACAAATAAAACTAGTTCTTTTACAAATGTTGAAAAAATTAATTACAAAGTGCCTAATTTTATTACTCTATTGTCTATTTTTGTCTTTAATTGTTGACAATCTAATACTCATTTGTACTAATTAACCAAATACATGCAACTCAACAAGGTTTAGATATTAGTGCGTGAAAAAAATATTCAAGACGAATGGGCATTTAAAAACTAAAAGAGGATTTTCACTATTTTAATATGATTAATTGAATAATCTGCAAAGCAAAAAAATAGGAATGATTAATTGAATAATTTGTAATGAGCTTAATTGAATAATTTGTAATGAAAAAAAAAGGCATGAGAGGGGGCATGTGCCCCCACTGGGCCTTACCTCCCTCCGTCCATGTGGGTGTTGTCGGGGTGTGGCTTTTGATAGGTTTTGTATTGTTTTTGTTTTTTACTTTTATTTTATTTAAACTTAACAGTTTTAAATTGGAATTAACTATTAAATTTGATGTCATGTCTTGAGTCATTAGATTATGAGAATAGTTAAGATGTAACAAAATACAGGTAATGCACGAAATCTAAATACAGAATCTCATGATCCATTTTGAAAATATATATAGCTAGCTAGTCGAGGCCCCCTCAGGCGATCTTCCGCTAGTACCCCACTAGAGAATGCTAGAGACCCCTCCAGTGGTTAAAATAAGAGTAAATTGTAGCAATGATCTCTGAACTTTAACCAAATTAGTGTAATGGTCCCTCAACTAAAAATCAATTACCATTGGTCCCTCAACTTATCAAAATGTGCAGCTATAGTCATTTTCATAAATTTCTTCAAAATTTTGTTAAAATAAGTTATGTTGGAATAACCATTTATATAATTAGGGTCCCTCAACTCATCAAAGTGTGTAATTATGGTCATTTTCGTCAACTACGTAAAAAATTTTGTCAAAACGAGTTATGTTGAAAGGACCATTACTCCAATTGGGTTAAAGCTAATGGACAATTTCTCCAGTTGAATTAAAGTTGAGGGATCAAAGATAATGAATTTTTAGTTGAGGGACCATAATTGCACGTTTTGATGAGTCGAGGGACTAATGGTAATAAATGTTTAGTTGAAGGACCATTATTTCAATTGAGTTAAAGTTAAGGGGCCATATATATAATTTACTCTTAAAATAAAGTCTAAACAATTCGGCCAAAAGTCTAAAATTTCTAAAAGTTGGCTACTTTTCAAAATTTCTCTGAAATAGCAGTAATCTTTATTGCATACAGTATAAGAAAGTCGAGCTAGAGAGAAAGATATTTGAGTGTGCCTAGCTATGTGTAAGTGAGAGAGAGCTAGAGAGAAAGATTAAGGGAGGGAAATGGAAAAGAAAACACAGAGGAGTCAAAGGACGTTGGTGTTAGTCCCAGCTCCTTACCAAGGCCACTTAAATCCAATGCTTCAGCTGGGTGCCTTCCTCCACTCAAAGGGCTTTTCCATTACAGTTGTTCACACCCACTTCAACTCTCCAAACCCTTCAAACCACCATAACTTCACCTTTCTTTCAATACCAGACGGCTTAACTGCAGGCCAGATTTCGTCTGGGAATCTAATAGGCATTCTATTAGCTATTAACGCCAATTGCAAAGAAAGCTTCCAACAATGCCTGACTCAAGTGATGAAGCAAGAAGCACGGAACGACATCACCTGCATCATCCATGACGAACTCATGTACTTTCCGGAACCTGTGGCCAATAACCTAAACATCCCAAGCCTCATCTTACGGCCTAATAGCGCTACCAATTTCATTGCTCGCAGTGCTCTCCTACAACTCCATTCAAAAGGTTATATTCCTTTCCCACTTCCAGGTTCGTACCTCCTTTTCCCCTCCATTTTTAATAAATATAATTACAAAATTGACGGAACAAATTAATTCCCATGCTCAGCAATAGTAGTAGACCTAAATATTGTTGGAAAACAAACAGGAAAGTATTTTAGGATTTGATTTAATTAGTGATTTTATATGATTTAATTAGAGTTTTGTTATGATTTGATTTGGTCTAGGTTTCCTTGTCTTGTAGACAAATGATTGTTTTGATTTATTTCCTAATTTTGCTCATTCGTCACCATCTGCAACCGATTCACCATCTACAACTCACATCTGCAACTCGCAGCTGCGATTTCCGACAACCTCAAACTTATCGTTATGCTTTACTAAGTGAAGATGGGTTCTGCAGAAGGTGGTTCTGAAGATGGGTTCTGCACAAACCCCAGAGGAGGAGGATGGGAGTGAAGGTGGTTTAAGCAGAGATAGAATGAGAGAGGAGGATGAGAGTAAATTGCAGAGTGAGAAGAGAGAGACTTCGCCATCTGCAGAGAGAATCTATTATATTGAAGCTATTAGATGGACAAGGATTAAGGAGTAGGTGGGTGAATCCCAGTCTCCCACGCCGGATAAAAGCAAAAATATTAAAAAACTTATGAATTAACTATTTCTTTGGCCCAATTATTTAAAAAATTTAGCCATTTGAGAGAAAAGTGAGGTGGGTGGGTGATGACTATTGGTTTGTGGTTAGAGTTTCTTTTATTAAAAGTCTTTTGAGGTCCAATGATAATTTAAAACTTAGGATCTTAGAAAATTTTTAAAATTTTACACAATACTCATATTTTATAATAAATATTTATTTATGTATTCTTTTATTTTTCATTTTATCTTTCTCAAATTTCCTATACAAGTTCCTTTTTTTGTTGTAAACATGTACTTATTCATATATTATATAGTAAATTTATTTAAAAATATAAATCCACCTAGCGGCCTAAGTGCTAGGCCCCAGCTCGCCGCTCAACTAGCGCCTAACATTTTTTAGAACCTTGGTTTTAGTTGGGCTTTAAAAAAGATTAGCGTTTATTTCAATTGGACTTTCGAAAATAGGCATTACCGCTAACTGAACTTTCGAAAAGAGGCGTTAGCTCCAACATAACAATAGATTTATTTATTGGCATTTCGAAAAAACAAGGTAGTTCCAATTGGGCTTTCGAAAAGATTAGCGTTAGTTCCAACTGGGCTTTCGAAAAAAAGCGTTAGTTCCGAGGTTATGATTTGTTAGTCAGGCTATCGAAAGAGGTGTTTGTTCTAGTTGGGCTTTCGAAAAGATTGGCGTTAGTTCCAGCTGGGCATTCGAAAAGAGACGTTAGTTTTGACGCATTGTGATTTGTTTACCTTTTGAAAAGACTGGCGTCAGTTTCAGCATATCAATTAAGATTTCTTGCAGATTTGGCTCACTTAATGTGTGGTCCCTTGAAGGGGTGTTGAATTAAATCCGATTTCCTTCTTGGCAAACTCATGATTTCACATCATCAGTTTGAGGGGGTGTTGGAAAATTAAAAGAAAGTATTTTAGGATTTGATTTGATTAGTGAATTTATATTATTTAATTAGTGTTTTTATATGATTTGATTTGGTCTAAGTTTCCTTGTCATGTGGACAAATGATTGCTTTGATTTATTTCCTAGTATTGCTCATTTGTAATCCTATAACTACCTCTTATTGGAGAAGAATAAAAATTTGAAGTTATATTTAAGAATTGTGAGATTGTAGAGAATTCTAAATTTATCCTAAACCTTTTATTTTCAACTAGGGGTGTGCTATCCACACACTCCTTTTTACTTCTCCCACACCCCTTGTTAATTTCTGCCCTTTGATCTTCTTTAATTCATCCGATCCGACGGCTGAAAATTAAAAGGGGTGAGAGAAGTAAAAAGGGGTGTGTGGATATCACACCCCTTTCAACTAATGTTCTTTGTGACAATGAGGGAAGAACCTAATCCATACGTCGTCTTATTACTTAACGTGTTCGGTTAATTTTTCTTACTTATAACTATGACAAACTCTGGATCACAGACTCATTGTCACTGAAACCGGTGCTTGAGCTTCATCCCCTCAGATTCAAGGATCTGCCCATCTCCACTTTTGACACGCTTGAAAATTATTCGAAACTAATGGTGAATGCACAGAATGTGAGGACATCCTCAGCCATCATTTGGAACACCCCGGACTGCCTTGAACAATCATCACTAGAACAGATCCAGCAGCAATGCCAAGTTCCAATCTTCTCTATAGGTCCTCTTCACAAGATTGCAACAGCTGCCTCTAGTAGTTTAGTAGAAGAGGACACCAGCTGCATTGCGTGGCTTGACAAGCAATCTCATAACTCAGTTATCTATGTAAGCTTGGGGAGTCTAGCCTCCATCGCCGAGAAAGATCTAGATGAAATGGCTTGGGGATTAGCTAACAGCGAGCAACCATTCTTGTGGGTGATAAGACCTGGCTCAGTTTGTGGTTCAGATTGGATTGATCTATTGCCTCAAGGTTTCAAAAAAGCTATAGGAAAAAGAGGTTGCATTGTGAAATGGGCACCGCAGAAGGAAATTCTGGCTCACAACGCAGTTGGCGGGTTTTGGAGCCATTGTGGTTGGAACTCAACCCTGGAAAGTATATCTGAGGGGGTTCCAATGATATGCAAGCCGTTTTCCTACGATCAGAAGGTACATGCAAGGTATCTCAGCCAAGTATGGAAAATAGGCATACAATTGGAGAATGAGATAGAGAGAGGAGAGATAGAGAGAGCAGTTAGAAAACTTATGGTAGATATTAAGGGGAAGGAAATGAGGGTGAGAGCCTTGGAATTGAAGGAGAAAATAGAAGCGAGTTTTAGGAGTGGCTCTCTTTATGGTTCCTTGAATGATCTTGTAGATCTTATTAGGTCATTCTAAGAATCTAATTGTAGCCAACTGGTTTTTGTATGCATATAAGATTTCGTAATAAGGCTTCCTGCATCTAATGGAATAAAACTTTGTATCCTAATGCATTAGTTAATACAATTTTGGCCAATCACTATAATGTAGTTGATACAAACATGGACTATGTTGACTGACAAACATATATAGTAAATCATTTTGAACAAATCATTGGCTTTCTGTTCTTTCATTTTGGGGTTTTCACTTGTTTAACCTGTTGACAGAGATATACACATCAGCTAGTAATATAGCAGCAAAGTTTGACAGGTGGCTTACACATCAGCAAAGGTTGTTAGGATTGTTGGTAAACTGTTATAAAGGATAAGAAAGTTAGTTGTACTATTAGTTGCTTATCTGTGAAGCTAAGGCTGTTGCCTATATAACAGAAATCCTTGTAATCGCATATTAATTCATTCAATACAAAAGATCATTCACTCTCTCTCTCTCTCTTTCTCTCTACATTCTTCTGCAATATTTCTTCTTTGCTTTTCTTCTTCTTCGATACTGAGTGTAGTGTTAATATGGTATTATCGCCGGAGGTCGATCCATGGTGATTTTTCGTTTGTTTTTCGCTGTGTGATTTGTGGTTCTTCTGTCTGTTTGGAGGGTTTGCTGCTCTTGATGCAGTTTCTTGGTGATCGAATCATGGGGTTTCAACAGAGAAAAGGTCTGTGCACTCCGCTGTTTGATAATATGTGTCAGTGAGTATTTCTTTCTGGATTGATGAATTGTTTGCTTATAAGGCCGATTGCCATTATTTGTTCGAAATTCTGAAGAATTATAAGGTGATTGTCATTCTTGGTTGATTGATATTTGCTTATTACTCCGTTAAAGGCCGATTGCCAGAGTATGAAATATTGTTGAAGGCCGATTGCCATATTGTTGTTTAGTCATTTCTCTTCTTTAAAGGCCGATTGCTGAAGAGGGTTTTTTGTTTCTTGATTGAATCTTGGTGTGTTGAAGGCTGTTTTTCGAAGGAGTCTTGTTGTTGTGTAATCTTGACTCTGATTGTGGAGGTTTCTATTGAACTTTCTTGATTGTGGACGAAGAAGAATTTGGTTGTAGTAAGCATAATGTCTGAGAATACAGTGGAATATGTGAAGATTGAAGGACTTCTAGGAATGCTAACGGTGAAATTACAAGATGATAACATTGTTAAATGGAGTTTCCAATTTCAATCAGTTCTACGTGAATATGATTTGTTTGATTTCTTTACTGGTGATAATCCATGTCCACCAAAATTTTTAATTCATTCTGAAACTGGAGTTACCAATGAGATCACAACTGCATACAAGAATTGGGTGAAAAAGTATATGGCTTTACTTAGTTTGTTAATTGCTACGTTATCTGAAGATGCCATGGAGCATGTGATTGGGTGTAAAACATCACGGGAAGCATGGAGTGCATTGCAAGATTGATTTGCTACTGTCTCAATGTCACGAATGAATTAGTTAAAAACTGAATTTCATACTGCTAAAAAATGAGGTGATTCTGTTGACAAGTTTTTACTGAGATTGAAGGCTATAAGAGATCAGTTAATCTCTGCAGGTGAAAGGGTGTTAGAAAATGATCTTATTATTGCTACACTATCTGGTTTGCCACAAGAGTTTGATATGATTAAGACAGTGATATTGGCAAGGGAAAGTCCTATGTCTTTAAAGGATTTCAGGGCTCAACTACTTAGTGCCGAGTTAACTATTGAGTCCAGGATTATATCTCTCACAAGTACAATGTCTGCAATGTATGTGAATGGTAACAGATCCAATGGCTTCAATGGAATGTATCAGGGTGAAAGTTCTAACATGGGATCAAATAGCTATCAATGAGGGTTTGGCACTGGTACATATCAAGGAAATGGCACTTATCAGGGTGAAAGCTCTGTTATGGGTGCAACAAACAACTATCAGGGAGGCTATGGATTCATTGGGAACAATCAAAGACCCTTCAATTCTCAAAATAATAGTGGGACATTCAACTCAAATAGGAATCCTAAACCATACTTCGATAACAAATACAAGGGCAATAGTGGTTTTTCTGTTGATTAAGGCAAGGGATCACAATCTGGTTTTAATGGACAGTCTTCAAATGGTGGTTCTAAAAGTGGGTCTACTTGGCAGAGTTGGAATGGTAATACAAACTACAGATCTTCTATCACACATGAATGCTAGATTTGCTCTCGAATAGGACATACTGCTCCCAATTGTCATTTTAGAAGTACTAATGGTTCAAATGTCAGTCAATATCAGCTCTTGGCGTGTCAGATATGTGAAAAGAAAGGCCATATTGCTTTGGACTGCTATCATAGGAATAACTATGCTTATCAGGGAGCACTACCACCATCAACAATCACTGCTATGTCTGCTCAAGGTTCACATGATCTTTCTCAACAAAGAAATGACTCACAACCACATGGGTTTTTGGCTGCTGATACATGGGTGTTGGACACTGGTGCCACATATCACATGACAGCCAATGTCAATACTCTTAATCAAGTCTCAGCTTATAATGGAGAAGAAAAGATAATCATAGGGAATGGTCAAGTTTTGGATGTGAAGCATATTGGTTCAACCACATTACTTACTCCAGCAACTTTCTTATACTTGAAAAATGTTTAACATGTTCCCAATATTACTGTCAATCTTTTATCAGTGAAGAAATTGTGCCATGATAATGGATGTTGGTTTATTTGTGATGATTGTGTGTTTTTCATACAGGACAAGGTAACCAATGTGATTATCTACCAAGGAAAGAGTGATGGGGAGCTCTTTACCATACCTGTGACATTGTTTTCAAGATCAAATTCAAGGGATGGAGTAGCAAAGGAGTTAAGAGCTGGTTTTCTGGGAAAAATGGTAAAGACTGCAATTTGGCACAAGAGATTGGGTCATCCCTCTGAAGAGATACTAAAAGCTATGTTAAAGTCAGCTAAAGTACCAGTTACCATAGATTCTTCAGAGTCAGTATGTTCATCATGTATTTCAAGCAAAATGTGTAGGCAATCATTTCCTGTAAAACATAGTAGTGCAAGTCTTATGTTTGAAAGAGTACATTTAGATGTATGGGGACCTTCTCCAAAACTGTCAATTGAAGGATATAGGTATTACATTAGCTTCATTGATGAATATTCAAGGTTTCTGTGGATTTTTCCTCTGATTAATAAATCTGAAGCAGTGAATGCATTTGTGAAATTTCATGCGGTTGTGCTTAACCAGTTCAATACTTCCATTAAATGTTTACAAACTGATGGAGGATGAGAGTACATGAGTAAAGTTTTTTATTGATTTTCTGGAATCTAAGGGGATTGTTCATAGAATTTCGTGTATAGAGACAATACTTACTCTAATGTCTGAAGCAAATTTGTCTGCTTCATTTTGGGTTCATGCTTGTTCTTATGCAACTTTCTTAATTAATAGAATGCCAAGTAAGGTACTGGAAATGAAGTCACCATATCAAGTTCTGTTTGACAAAGTTCCTGAGATTCATAATTTAAAAGTTTTTGGGACTGCAGTATATCCTTTTCTTAGGCCTTACAATTCGAATAAGTTGCAAGCAAGATATGTGCAGGGTATGTTATTGGATACAAGGGGAGTTATATGTTATAATGTTGCAACTAGGAAAATAATTCTGTCAAGACATGTGATTCATGATGAATCGACTTTTCCCTGCAAAATTCATTCAAATTCCAGTATTAATAGAGATCAACAACTGCAGTCTTCTATTCGCAGGCCTATTGTCATTCAGGTTCCTTTACCAACAGTTACAGTACCTCAGGTTCCTCAGAGGGACAATACTAGTAGTTATGAGCATGATGTGGTTCATGGTGTGTCTATTTCTAATACTAATGATAATTCTGGAACGAGGTCAAGTTCAATTGTATCAGCATCAGGTACATAAGACTTATCACTGTCACAGGATACATCATCAACTCAAGATCCCCATCCCATCACTCCTACACCTCCTGGTAGATCACACATGTTGCCTGTCCATAATGATACATAACTTGAGGTAATTCTTCCAATCTCATCTCCTATATTATCTGACTCTGATGATTTTAGAGTTGCATCTACACACCCAATGCTTACTAGACTGAAGAGTGAGGCATTTCCAAAGAAGAGTTACAAAGGGTATTTGGCTACATTACCTGAACTACAGTCACTCCAACTAACTGAAGATACATTCTTTGGTGGGGGATTTTCTTTCCTTGTGAGTACCAATGATTCTGCAGAACCAACAACCTTCAGAAAGGCTGCTACTATACCACAATGGCAACGTGCAATGCAATTTGAGTATGACTCTCTTCAGGCTCAAGGAACTTAGGAACTAGTACCACCTCCAGATGAGAGGTCCATTATTGGCAGCAAATGGGTATATAAACTCAAAAAGAATCCTGATGAGTCTATATCAAGTATAAAGCTTGGTTGGTTGCACGAGGGTTTTCACAAGAACAAGGTGTGGATTACTCAGAAACTTTTAGTCCTGTTGTGAGACACACAACCGTGAGAATATTACTAGCATTGGCTGCAATTAATCGTTAGGAATTAAGGCAGCTAGACATCAAAAATGCTTTTTTTGCATGGTGAGTTACAAGAGGAGATTTACATGAAACAACCTCATGGATTTATGGATATAGCCAAGCCATCTTATGTATGCAAGTTGGTGAAGTCTTTGTATGGTCTTAAGCAAGCTCCAAGAGCTTGGAATTCGAAGTTTACAAGTTACTTACCTACAATGGGGTTTAAAGCATCTGCTTCTGATTCAAGTTTGTTTGTTAAGCATAGTGATGGGGATGTTATCATTCTATTGTTGTATGTCGATGACATTATACTTACTGGATCTAATTCTTGCAAGGTACAAAATGTTATAACATAGTTATCTGAAGTTTTTGAGCTTAAAGATATGGGAAAGCTCACTTATTTTCTTGGTCTGCAAGTTAACTACAAATCGAATGGAGATATCTGTGTAAATCAATCCAAGTACATAAAGGACTTGTTACATAAAGCTGGTATGGAGTCCTGCAAACCAGCATCTACACCATGCAAGCCGTATGATCCTTTATTGGTTACTGAAGGTACTTTGTTAACTGATCCAAGCTTGTATCGCAGCATTGTTGGCTCCTTACAATATTTAACCTTTACAAGGCCAGATATTGCATATGCAGTCAATTTTATGTGTCAATTCATGGCTGCTCCCACAGAAGTGCATTTTGGGGCATTTAAAAGGATTTTAAGGTTTCTCAAAGGAACTATGCAAAATGGTGTGACATTCTCAGCCGATACAGAAGTGGGAATTACTGCATTTAGTGATTCGGATTGGGCTGCAGATTTTAACACCAGAAGGTCAGTCACGGGGTATGTGGTTTACATTGGAAACAATCCAATCTCATGGCAATCGAATAAGCAGAATTCAGTTTCAAGAAGCTCTACAGAAGCTGAGTATA